AGCATGGCACTGGTGGAATAGATAATCCCTATCTTCCAACCTCCGAACCCATTAATCAGTAATAGATAATCATTTAACCTATCCTCCGTCTGCTTCTAGGTCTTCCTCCCTGCTGTCTATCCAATCCCGCTGTCTTCCCTAACACCTGCACTTAACATCTCGCCCGCGCTTCCTGCTTTATATCCCGCGTTGCAGACTAACTCTTACAGATATGCCGCGGGCAAACTGGCAGCCTTTCTGGCTCTTCCGCGAGTCCAATGGAAGAGATCTCTGCACTACTGGTGCAGTGGAGCGCGCTTGGGCAACAGTGACTTAGCGCGAGCGCGTTGCGTGGCGCATACAGTGCCGGATTCTCAATGGAGCCCTGCTGACCGCAAAAGATATCGCGGATATTGAAGACCCGACGCTCGGTCCGGACGTCTACTCCACACACAGATTCGAAATCCAAGAATACAGTCCGGAACCAAGGCCAGTTCCCGATGATTGGGTGTGCACCATCATAGACGACTGGATTGTTCCTTCGGACTCAGACACTCCGGTGTCTGACCCGAGCCCTCCACCAGTTGAGCCCGCTGCTCAATTGCCCTGTGCTAACATCACCGAAGCAGCAATTAGACCCAAAACAGGCAAAACCAAGCCTCCCATCGAGGAACCGATAGAGCCCGTCGACAAGTCCTCTCGTCTCGAGAGAGCTCTTCAGCTCGTCAGATTTAGAGAGAATGAACGTGATGATTTGCGTAAACAACTACGCAAAATGCAGGCAAAGCTTGACATTTCAGCCAAAGAAAATACGGAGCTGAAAATAAGACTCGAGAAACAAAGGGAAGAGTTCCTTTGTGTGAAATTGTCTCAGGAATCCAACGCACTAAGTTCCGAGGTGATCCGAGCAATATTTCCGGAGCTAGACCGGTTCTCATGGGGTCCATAGAGAAAAGTCGCCTCTTGTCACGCATCGGCCGAAGAATGTTCGATTTCTAATTTTTAAATTAATTTTTAGAAGTTGCTATGCAGCTATTTAGGTGTGAAATTGTCTCAGGAATCCAACGCACTAAGTTCCGAGGTGATCCGAGCAATATTTTGGAGCTAGACCGGTTCTCATGGGGTCCATAGAGAAAAATCCCCTCTTGTCACGCATCGGCCGAAGAATGTTCTAATTTTTTAATTTTTAAAGTTCAAATTTTTTAGAAGTTGCTATGCAGTCTATTTAGGTGTGAAATTGTCTCAGGAATCCAACGCACTAAGTTCCGAGGTGATCCGAGCAATATTTCCGGAGCTAGACCGGTTCTCATGGGGTCCATAGAGAAAAATCCCCTCTTGTCACGCATCGGCCGAAGAATGTTCAATTTTTAATTTTGACGTGAAAACGTCTTTGCCCAGGCTCGGGTGACCTGTTCGATGTACTTCGTCATCCAAATAGCCATAACTTGTCGCACTTTGCGGTCTTATATCTCGATCCTCATTCACGCTGGCCGCAAACTGATTCCTGTATCGAAAGGGGAATTTCCGGGATTCCACTCTGAACGAGATCCTGTCGCGAAGCGCTACATGGTTGCTCCATGATTTCGGTTTTTCTACATACCCCTCGATCAAGCTCGGAATCTGATGAATAATAGTGAATTCTAGGCTTCTCGTGGGGTTTAGAGAGGAGAATCTATATATATGAAAACGTATGTCTGTCTGTCTGTTTGTCTGTCTGTATGTCCGGGGTACCCTATAGACTCGAAAACGGCTGAACCGATCTTCGTGAAAATTTAGGAGTGTGTCCTGGGGGATCCAGCGGTGGTTATAGGGGGGTCAGTTCTCCGATGCGATGAGTCCTTCTACCTTAAAAAAATTATTTGAGTGCTCCACCCACGAAAATTCGAAAACTCGGAAAAAAATTGAAAAATCCGAAATTCGCAAAATTCACTAACGCCTGAACCGATCGCCGCAAAAATTCAGGGGTGGGTTCCCGGGAGCTTCAGGAAGGTCATCTGAGGGTCGTCGTTCTCATGTTATGGGTCTTCCCCCCATAAAAAAATGATCTGAGTGGTCCTCTCACCGAGAATCAAAGATTCCATCAAGGGAAAGACGGGAATTCGATTTTCCGGAGGACATATCTAATAAAAGCGGGGGCACGGGGAGGCG